CGGCCGGCCGGACATACTGACCGATTCTAGAGTGTACTCACTTTTTGAGTACACAAAAAGAACCTGGCCCACTACTTTTGGATAACCCTAAGTATTTTACATTATTCTAAGAAGAGAAGAGTTAAGGAAGTCAAGGAGAAAGTCAAAAACAAGGGAAATAAAATTGAATTATTTATTTTCTGAAAAAAAGATAATCATCTGCAATCAGCAGTAAATTCTACATTTCATGAACTATCACTCCATAGAATAAAAGAAAATTGTTTTTTTTTTGGATAGTCTCGGATTTTCTCCAGGTTTCACAATGACACATGAAATAGAAAAATAATTTTTGACATACACAAGCTATCTTATTTTACTTTGAATTGAACACTGATTCCGAATATGACATATTTTTTCAAATACGAAAGAAAGAGTTCAACGTTCTTTCGCTTTCTTTTGACTTGTTCAACTTTTTCGTGTTGGAACACTATAAAAGATCTAATTCTTTCTTTTGTGCAATAATAGCTCCAATTCTCCTTGCTTTTATGAAGGAAAATGAAAATACCATCCCTAGAAGAAAGATTGCCTGATTTTTCACGATCGAGTAAAAGGTAAGCTTTAGACTGATTACAAGTTTGACTTTGGTTTTATTTTTCAACATTTTATGATCACGACTGCATAGATCTTAATTGCTAATGTCCATCAAAAACGACGTGCTGTTGATTTGAAGGCTTGTTTATCTCAAGAGAACGTTTAAAACTTATGTTTCCTGTGAATAGTTCAGAATGAGTACCAATCTGAAATAGATTTATATTCTTCTTTGATCATTGATACGATCATCGTCAGATAACAAGAATAAAATTTTCAAGGAGAATCAATAGATTGCCTGATCTGTTTTTTTCAACATCATAATTTAATTTTTGGTTTTAAATTAAGAAAAAAACTATATTTGGTTTTCTAGAGACAACGGTACTACAGTAATAAGGTTGCTTATCAGGTCCACTACATATAATATTTTGTATAAATTCCTAGAATGTTTTAATAGTAGCCAGTGTTATAGTGCTGAGCATGCTCAACACATTAATGATTTAGACATCGCAACTTTTTCAATATTATTTGTCATGATTAGGGCTGGATCAATTTCTATTCTAATCAACTCCAAAATCAATTCTAGATTTAAAATGAATAGGAATTGACTTCTCTGAAGATTTTTAAGTTTTTGGTCATAATTTACACGTTGTAAAGTCGAATAGAATATTTGCTTTTGAAATAGCAGTTGAGGAATACAGTCATTCACACCTTTTGTTTTCAAGCGAACTCAGTAGTTTGTAGAGAAAATTCTTTTACATAAAAGCAACATAGTATTTTGATTGAGAAACTATTTTACAGAAGCCTCTTACCAAGCCGGAGAAGTCACTGCCGCAAATTTTAAGTCTTCTATGTTTTCGTTAGCTGAAATGAATCCATCGTATATCGGAAGTGTAAAAAAAAAAAAAACTTTTGTTAGCACAGTTCCATTGAGGCTACAATAATTGTTTCTGTAGACGATCAATCACCGCATGAAGAATCCACCTTATTTGTTCCCGAATCTTGCGCAGATATTTTTCTCTTCTTAAGGAGTTTCTAAGACCTGTAATGGAGGAGATGAGATTCACAAAACTTTGTACTTATGTCGAAAAACCATAAGTGTTCTATAGAAATTCGATCATCGACATTTTCAATATTAGCCATCGATTGAAGATATCGAAATTCAATATTTAAATGTGTCTATGTTCTAAAAATTTTTGATAAAATCATGGAATCTTCCTTACGCTACATATATGGAATATTTTTCTATTTCAGGATTACGTTTCAAAGGCTGGCCACTGCCATAGGTAATTTTGATCATAGATTCACTGCACAACCACGTACCGGAGACAATTGTACATGTGCATTCGATAACAAGTGTGCAAATCAGACGACCTTCTACAGACATTTGTGGGCTCTTCTTGTGTATAAAAATTTTTCTGTTCCGAATTTCTTTTTTGGATGTTCTTCTATTGATTCTGTTAGCATATCATCAGTCGAATGTTTTTCTAGCCAATCATGTTTGAACATTGTAATTGGACTGCTGAATGAATCACATGCTCTATCAATAGACACACCCATTCTATTATTTAATAATAGTCAGTTTTCGTCAAATACAACAATGAGTAATGTTATAGACAATCTCATGATCGATAAATGGAATGTCAATGTCAACTATAAACGCTACTATAATCAATGTGAGCCCATACAGTGTTCCTACACATACACTATGCGGGGTGAACCGCTTTACATATTCTCAACAATTATTGGCATGCTTGGTGGACTTGTTATTGCACTCAGAATAGTGGCTCAAATTACTGTTAGAGTAATACGCAATCAAATGCAACCAAAAACTAGAAATACGAATAATATAGGCAAGTCGTTGGAGATTTTAGCAGAAAGTCTATGTCGGCGAATTCTCGTTCTAAAACAAATGAAAACAGACTGAATAGAAAGTTTGATACAAGACCATTGCAAACCGTCAGGAGAGAGAAAAAAACCAAGAAAATGTATTTGAAGGACGTCACCCCAGTTCTCTCTCATTCTTGATGATTCTACTTTGGCGAACAATAAAACGTTTTAAAGTTTGCTCGTTTTCTTCCTCTTAGAAAAAGCTTGAGTGAAACATTTCGTTTCAAGTTCTGAGTAAACTGTCCATATTTTCGTAGTAGTTTACCAAAATTTTCTGGACAAAGACTTTTAGTGAAAATGGAATCTGAAAAATGATCTGAAGCAAACACTATCACTAGCGTTTTATTTGAAGTACTAAATTTGAGAAGTTTTATTGTGTTTTGTATCAGAGCTCGAAACTGTCGGTTCGATCCAACACTTCAATCTCTTTATTTTACTTTCTACCAAACTAAATGCCTACTTGAAATAGTGGAAATTATGAAAAATTTTTTGCGCCGCTAAGAATTTCAATTTCAATTTAATTCTTATTTAATTTGTGCATTTAGTCTATTCTTACGTTAGACTAAAAACAAATATAATTGATAGATGATTTCATTTATTTTGAAATCTTTACTATTTGCAGATACTGTAGAATTTAAATTATAAATTTAATGAAAATATAGTATTTTTATTTTTATTTTTTTTTGTTATTTCATTGAAATCAGAGAAACTATGAAGGAAACATCGAAATTTGAACGAAAATAAAATCACAAAGATCGGTTCAGTTTGCCGAACGAAACATACCCGTTCAGAAGCCTTATGAGTTACGAACACGTAGAAATATATACCTTTAAAGATTATATTTTCGTTAAAATTTCGACGCGTTTCCTTTGTTTTTGTTTATGTGAATTCGATGAAATAATTTAAATAAATAGAATAATATAATTTACTGTGATCTAAATCTGTTACTAACGTAAGAAAGCGATTGATAGAAAAAAAAATATCGAAAGTAAGCCGTCTTCGAAAGCAGGAGCTGCCAATAACACTTATTTAATTCTACAAATTTAGTTAATGAGAGAATTAATCGCAAACATTCCATTTTTTGGAAAAGAGACAATCCTATAGATTAGTTGCTACTTTTAGTAGCGGAGTTTCTTATGAATTTTTACCATCCAATGAGTTATCAAGCAGCAGAAAGTCGTTTGTGAGCGTGTGGGAAAAGGTTTTGATATCTTAAGTTTTCAAGTTCACCTTCGAATTTAAGTTATGAAAATATTTTTCTTCTTGTTCACAAACTATTTTTGACTGCCATGCCAACTCAGCGAATGTTCGGAATCGAGAAAAAAATACCGTTTTCATTCAGAAATATGAGAACACCTTTCAGGGATGTAAACCAATCAAACTATGCATAATGATGGTTATTGAGTTCAAAAACCTTACAACATACTTTGTTTGTTTGCTTGACTAAACAAACGATTCAACATATCTCATATGAAATTTATTTCGATTTTAATAATCTGAGTTAATCAAACTCAATATAGAACAAGTTATTTGTTCTCAAGTATGTTGTCAATTATGGAAATGATTTCGAAATTTTATCAGGAAAAAAACACTTTATAAAGGAAACTTTCTTTGAGACCGAGCTGAGCCAGTCTTAATAGTATTCAGGCCACTTTTGATTGAGTGAGAAAAAGAAAAACCGACCCCACTCAAATCCTGTTCCGTACGGTTGACTGACCGATGAAAAAGAGAACATTTTTTTCTATCTAGCTTTTGTATTTCGGATATGTTACTTTATTATTTCAACACATGATGATTCGACTATGTTATTAATTAAGTAAATGCGATGAATCTACTTTGTTTCAGCTCGATTTAATTTTTATGATCGTATATATCATCTTATAAATTGGCTAAAAATTCAAGCAATGCAACTTAATTTCTTCGAGACAAAACTATCATGGAATGATGATGAACATCGTCAAACAGAAATCATTACTACACGACTCTATTTGCTTCTGCTTTCCGTATGTATCATCATCGTGTCTATTTATACATCAAGCAACATTCAAACTCGAACTTTTACTGTGAGGAATCCATCCAGAGCAACATTCGATCGATTTTATTCAAATCCACATTACCCGCCTATTCTAGTTTGTCCTTGTCAGAATCTCACTATTCCATACAATAGTTTTGTTCAGATCATTCCCTATTTTCATCAAATCTGTTCAAGTGACTTTGTCATCTCAAATGTTCAATGGCTTACACTTTATTCTTCGTTAATGTTCAATTTCAACTATACCTATGACGACTTTCGAATTTTTGTTGTGCCACTATTCCGAGGGCTTGCCTCTTTATGCACTATTGCTCAAGTTACAGTGGCCGACGGACTATCTGTATTCATGTCAAAAACACTGATTAGTCAACGAGTCGAGTCCAATCATACTATTCAATCACAAATAAGTTCTGCTGTCATACAGTTTCATTCATCAACAAGTAGAGCGTTCATCCTGATATTAGATTACGTTAATGAAATACTAAATGGTAACAGAATAATCTCATCGATAATGTCGAATTGGTACATTGATGACTACATAACAGATGCGTCAATAATTACGGCACATCCTACCGTTTCGCCACGCTCATATGCCAATGATACCTGTGTCTGTGGCTATAGCTCGACATGCTCATCACCGGCATTTATCGATGGATGGCTGGTTCCTGGATTTCGAGTTGGTTGCAATCCAATTCAATCTCTTCTACAATCTACTCTCGAATGTCTCTATAATGTAACATGCATCGATAAGATCAAACCAAATGATTCTACATCACATGTGATCTTTCGTGCCCTTGATTCTACACGATCAACATCCACTATTCTTGTTCAATCTCTAGTGGATGATCTTATGGTCGATCGATGGGAAACAAATGTCGTTTATGAGTATTACTATAAAGCATGTGGTCCTCTCTATTGTATTTATTCACTCGACTTGCGGTTCGATAAAGTGTATGTTTTAACTACCATTATCAGTCTTTCTGGAGGGTTGACTGTTACACTTAAGCTTGTCCTTCCACTTGCTGTCAAAATTGGACGATATATTGCTATGTATCGTCGAAGACTACTAGTTCGATCAACAGTAACTATAATCGCATAAGACACTTAAAAAAAGTGGCTTTTGATGTTGTGTGTAAGATATTATTGAAAAGATGTTGTCTTTTACTGCAATTATGTCACTTTCTTTAATCAAAAGTCTAATAAAATAAATATTTGGATGTTTATTTATCTGCTTATTCTATTGAGTTAGAATGCAGCATCAATAAATTGCTGAAAACTAGGGAAATGTGTCTGAAAAGCAACTTGGATGCAATGATTTTATTTCGATTTATCTTTGTACGAGGGTGGGTGTGGGCGGGTGTAGAAGACTTATCTCATACCCACACCCATCTCACATATCATTATGCATCTTATATGCTGTTTGCTACTTGCATAATCACATCAATAGAACAACTATTTATAGCAAGAATCAACATGAAGTCAATATAACAAATCAATTGATTTGATTTTTCAGAAATGAAAAACAAAGGATTTATTCAGTCGGAAATCATTTCTCAACTTAATAGTATTTACGTGATTGCACACATGGGCACGATAAAGAGTAATGCCTTTATATACAGACACTTATTGTTATATCAATGATCATGGAAAGTTGTGTTTTGTCCTTCGAAACTATCCTTTCTTTTTGTTCGGTTTTTTGATATACTATGTTTTGCTTGAATGTTGATTATTTGTATATGTGCATGACTTCTTCATATATTCGTTCTTTTTCTCTTTTGAATATGATTTATTCGTTTGTGTATTGATCTTGATGAGAAAATAATATAAAAAACACATTAAACTAAGTGAATATAGTGAATATTGCTTTGTCAATAACAGGTTCCGGTTCATTTGTTCTCTTAATAGCCAAAATCATAGATTTTGACCATCTAGTTTTTAGTTCAAATAGTGACTTATTAGTTCAATAGTTCCAATTCAGTAATGATTGTCAATATGAGAAATAAAGTAAACAATGAAATTCGTTTGTATTCTGAAAATAAAATAGAAATGTGAAGAAAGATTGTGTACAATACATGTAATATTGGCTTAAAAAACAATGTTTACGTGAAGATGACGTGTAGTCAACATACATATCAAAATAAACAATATTGCAAATGAAACAACAGCTTTCATCTATTCTATTCGGAAAAGTTTTTTTCTCATCGATGTAATTTGTATAATTTTTATTGGTTTTTCTGTTTTTTTTTCTACAAAAAGGTCTAATAATTTTTATCAATTTAATGCAGATCGAACAATTTACAGTCATCAGAAGAAGAAAATCTAGAACATATATTACTCCGTCAACTACAAACAAGAAATGTCAATCAAGTAAAGAGAATAGTTGTAGAACGAAAAGAAAAAATTGAATTATGAACAGACTCGAACAGAGTTACTTTTTATACCAGTTCGAACTCGATAAGTGTAGTTTTAAAAAAACCGGAATGGTAGCCGGATTTCAAACCGGTCGTTGATGTGATGTTATGTAAAATATAAATAGGCAAACTATACATTTTGTTTTCTACATACTCTATTTTCATACAATAGAAATCAAACTAACATGGTTGACACACTTGCGGATCCATCATCGGATGTTAATTATTGGGCTCCTTTTCTTATGCAAGTCTTTATTATTCTTGTAATTGTTCGTCTAATGAGATGCTTACTTGCATTAATCAAACATCCATCAGTAAGTGATAAAATCTTACATAATATGTTAATTTTATAAATAATAAATATAGGTTATTGGTGAAATAATAGCTGGAATAATTGTTGAGTGTGGGTGTGGGTGAGAAGAGAGAACTGATGTACCCCGAGTCATGGCCACACATCCACATCCACATCCTTCCTTGCCGTATACTTCGACCTGGGAGGGAGTTGGCCAGAATGCATTGAAAAAAGTTCGAAAAATTTCCCGTCGAAATATTGCTTCCATATTCCAGCGATTTTCGTTTTTTTCCTGTCTGAAGCAGCTCGTACTTCATCACCTGGGTTAGGATCAAAATAATGTCCATTTTTGTGCCGTAAAATAACTGTAAGCAGCCGTGCATGGATTATATCGTCCAACCTCGGTGGAGATTTTGTAACCTGAAAGGTTGTCTACGTAATATATTATTTAGTTTTCAAAAATGTTACCTCAGTTCCGAGTTTTTTAAGAGTGTGGATGTAGAGAGATTCAGATCATAAGACTCACACCCACAACGTACACTCACATTCACACCCTTTTGCACTCGAATGGTTTTTTTGATATTAGCTTATATGTGCTGGGATGAGTTGTTTATTATTATGATGATAATGGTTTTGAAAAAATATATATCTGATTTGTTAAGTGAAAAACAGGTAGTTGTGCAATGAGCAGTTATTTGAAGGAGCAGATAGCAATGTTTTTGCAATTATTGGGTCTTTCTAAACTAGGAAAATTGCGCGTTTATTGGGGATGGTACTTTAGTTTTACTTTATCAAACAAAGATACATGAGGGTATGGATGCGAGTCTTGGCTTGATACAATCCACATCCTTCGAAATTTTCTAGAGAGTACGGAACCTATAAAGTTTCATACCAATGGATGACTCTTTATCTTTACTATCCTTTAAAGTAAAGGATAAAGATAAATGAATCCTTTATTTTTAAAGAATAAGGATAAATCAATAATTTATCTTTAAAAAATAAAGATAAAGTAAAGAAATAAACTATTCTTTTTTTCAAGCGATAATGATATTGGAAGCGTTGTAGGACCACACAATTTATGTTAAGAAAGGTTTTTATCATCAAATAAATGCATTTGTTTTGAAAACAAGCTAGTAGAGGCTACGCATGAAGTTTTTCTTTTTTCTAATATTTAGCGGATTTCGGTGACAAAAATGAAGATTGAATCAAAACTAGTACCATATTCTGAATCAGCATTAAAAACAGAGCTGACTTATGAGCATTTCAAATATTTTTGAGATCTTTTTATTTTCATCGAGAAATTAACTCATATTTCCCTCTCAGGGTAGTTAGATTAAAAAATTAATTTTACTAAAGAAGAGGCTTTGGAAATGGCAAATAAACTCTTAAATTGTGAAATGATAGTAGAGCACAAAATGGTGAAGATTTAAACAATAAAAACAGCATTTTTGCGGATTTCATTTTTCTGATTCAATCATCCTGAGGGGAAGTACAGGTGGATTTTTCGATGAGAAAACAAAGATCTCAAAAAAAATTTGAAACACTCATAAGTCAGCTTCATTTTTTATGCTCATTCAGAATATGATATTAGTTTTGATTCAATCTTCATTTTTGTGATCGAAATCTGCTAAATATTAGAAAAAAAAAACAATAATTCATATTAGGTCTCAACTGGCTTGTTTTCGAAATAAATACATTTGTTTGATGATAAAAATCTTTCTTAACATAAATTCTATGATCCTAGAGCACTCGTAACAGTATTATCGCTCGAAAAAAAGTATCCTTTGTTTCTTTACTTTATCTTTATTTAATAAAGTAATAATAAAGTACCATATATATTCGTACTTCCAACGAACTTTTTTAAATTCGGTACGACAGATTTTTTAGGGAGGACACCAAAACTGTTCGTTGCTGACTTGATTACTATATTGAAGATTGGTATCATTTCTAAAATATTGCAGATAATATTTGTAAATGTCTCTTGAATTAAAATGTCCAGCCAGTGTAAAGTTTTTCACAATATCATTCTTCATAATACCGCATTGAATTAATGATTTAAATGTCCTCAAAGATTTTACACTAGTATAATTGCCAATAATGCCAATACCTTTCAGAAAACAAAAGAACATAATTTGAAATCTCGAAACGCTAACGTGAGAAGCAATAGAACACTTCAGCGACAAAAACTCTTGCGAGTCAGTCTACCTAAGCCACGATCGATGTTTAAAGAGGGTGCTCAATGGAAATTATCACATCTTGCTCACTTTAAGACATGCAGTAGAAGCCTCAGTCTTATGAATTTTGATGTAAATCGTTTTCAAAAATATTGAATCTTCAAATTTTTATGATGTTTTTCATGAACTAGTTCTTGTAACTATACACATCAAAATTCATATAAGATTTTAATTACTACACAGAAAGATCTTCTAGAATAAAAAACTTCTAATAGGTTTTTAAAGGTGCAACAATCTATTAATGCTTCAGCCGCATATGACAATGGTCAATGTACCTTTGAAGGGTACATTGACAATTTTGATGGGTGCCTAGAGAATTTCTAGATTGTTGCACTTCCATAAGCGTGTGGGTGTGGGTGTGTGGGTGTGGGTGTGGGTGTGGGTGTGGGTGTGGGTATGGGTGTGGGTGTGGTTGTGGGTGCGTTCTTGGCATTCTATACCCACATTCTATACCCACAGGCACACCCTCACCCACACACTCTCACCCACACACCCACACCCACACCCACACTCACCGACACATCCACACCCACCCCACACCCACACCCACACCCACACCCGCACCCACACCCACTTTTTGAGTATAATCTATTGGATAAGCCCCAGTTTCGAAGCCGGTCTACAGGAAATTTCCAGACCAGGACTCACATCAAATGAATAGAAAACTTTCAGATCCGAATCCTAGTCAAACCCAACCGAGTTCGGAACCAATCCGATCGGCGACTCTAGTCCAATATGCTTCGCATTAAGAACAATTATCACCAATGAAAGTCAATTGAGTAATACACTTCGATATATTTTCAATTATTAAATTAGTGAACATCTTTTGAAAAATTTTGTAACTATTAGTTTTGTGTGTTGATGACATGAAACAATCTGTTCATTTTAATATTTTGATCAGTGAAAAGTAGTTGGATGTAATTCATACATACATATGATTTTATATGATAAGTTTTTCATAAACTATCATACATCCATCTTGACGGTCAATAATATAAATTCAATCGTCATTTTTAAAAATCAGTCAAGTTGAAAATATGTTTACTTAGCGTTTCTCAAAGCTTTTCTTAATCAGTCAGTTGTACTATTCCATCAGATACTATGATTTGAATAAATTTTAATTAGTATATTCAAAAGTTTAAATAGAATATCTTTTTAAAATTGAGGAATTGGTTCAGTCTCTAATGCTCATAAAACTGATATACAACTACAAATTACGTATCACGAAAACAGGTCTGACTAAAAACGTTCAAGTACTGTCTGTGTTCAGCGATGTTGAAACATAATAATTATTTAAGATTTACTGTTCGACCTAAGTGACTATACAGCATACAATTTCGGTCAAGCATACAATCAGTATCATCTGAATGAATTCCTATCATGAATGAGAAAACAATTCTTGTTTATCATCATCTATTCGTTTTGTATTATTATTTAAATACTGCCAATCAGTATAAAAAAAATAAAAATAAAAATATTATTCTTTTTCACATTTGATATCATAAGAATATATTCCTAATGAAGATTATGTCAATACAATATTATAGATAGTTTAAGACCCTTTGTCAATAGAAAGACATTAGAAAAAAAAAACTTATTTATATTCTAATAATTATTGTTATGATAGTAAACATTTGATCAATTTTATTTTATCATCCAAATAGAATATATCATTGTCAAAACAGTATGTTGAATATTTTCTGAAAATGAACACATTAATATTAAAAGAATGTTCATTTTAAACTCAAAAACTAGTTTTTGTTATTTAGTTTAATTCTTCAAATCATTTTAGATATAAAAATCTGAAAAGATCTATTGAATATGACTGAAAAAAGAAAAACCTAAAAAATGTTTTTTTTTCTGTTTCAAACCAAGCTCGACCAACTTCAACTGCTTTTCCTTTTTCTCTTTCTTCTTCATTTGTAGCTAATGCCCATGATCAATACCAAGATTCACGAGATTTTTCACGAGCTTCATTTTGATATTTTTCTAATGTCCTTTTATCAACTTGTCCTATTAAAAACCTACGAAAAAAAAGAAATTCGATTGTTATGAAATCAATCAGGTATTACATAATTTGTCCACCAATCGTTGACTTTCCTGCATCAACACGTCCACAAAAAACAATATTAACAGATTCTTTTTTTTTCTGACAATATCTCGCTTAACGACAACATTTTTCTTTTCTTTTGGAATTGTTGAACCCCAATTTTGAGTTGTTTTACTTGTCGCTGTTGCTGTTGTTGTTGCTGCTGTCGGTGTTGTGTTTCACTCATCCATGATTTCTTAATAAACAAATAAATCAAATTGTAAAGCATGAAAAAAACATGTCGAACTGTCATAATCATCATCAGGAAATTGATCTTGTTCTCTCTCCGTAATATCTTCTTCCATTTGTTGTACATCTTCGGATTCAATATTATTTGTGTTCATAGTTCCACTTTCAGATTGATTACTTTGATTTTCATGTCTATGTCGAACAACAACAGGAGTTTATGGAGGAGTTTTAGGTACTTGTGACGTTGAAACATTGGTTGATTTCGATGCAAATGAAGGAACAAAGTCAGTAGCATTTATATTTAATCCTGCAAATTTTGTTGTTGTTAATGATATTGATGAATTCTCTTCTTCGGAAAGATCCCAACTTGTTGGAGGCTCATTCATTGTATTTCATTTCGAGTTTTATTTAATCAAATCTAGTCGAAAGCTAAAACATACAATACTATTTATTTGATAAAAGAAACAATCATAAAAGAAGAGAGTGTCAATGAGTATGATTCATTCGAATCTTACTATTGGTTAGCTGGAGTCAACCAATACCACATTTCATTCACCATTTTTCTTAAAATTCTAACAAGCGACATGAAAATGCATTTTGATATTTATGGATGTTTAGCTATATATTTGTCCTATCGATGCACTAGAATAAACAATACTGACAATAGGAGACGATAGGGTGAAACAGACAGAAAAAAATAGAATGAATTAACCAACGTGATTCGTCTGTTCCGATTTAAATTGTTTTTTTCAGACGATTTATTTGTTAATTCAGTCTTAATTGACTTCATTTCGTCTAGTCTGCTTGGTGTCAAAAAGAAGATGTCAACGATAGAAAAGTGAGAAAAAGTTAGTTTCAATCATAGTTGCTATTCAACCCGTGACATCTTTTCAACAACAAAACAAGGGAGGTTAATCGATATATATATTAACAATGATGTTAGATGAAATAAACAAATCATACTATTTTTTGATTTTCCTCAATACTAACAACAGGAAAATAAAACATTTCTGTTTGTTTACCAATATTCTGTTTTTTAGATTTCGTTCTCGTCTTTTCACTCGATATATCGTCTCATTGGCGTTTAGTTAGAGTAATTAAGTTGTTTGTTTGGATTCGAACGAAATTTTTATTTGAACATAGAGTATAGATTTCAAAAGGTTAGTTGAAGACTTTATAAAAGTATTTAGCAACAACTAAACAAAAGCTTCTTTATTATAGAAATACCGATTTAATGGACAAAAACAAAAAAAAAACCGATAATAAAAATAAAACAAAGAATAGTAAAAAAAACAAGAACAAAGAAGATGAAAGCAAGAAGGAATCTCAGAAAGATGACAAGGTTCGAATACAATATGGTAAGTTCACAATAAACAACTCAGTTATATATAGATTTGCTTTATATTTGTAGTGAACCAGTTGAATGATTTAATTGATGAAATATTTGCAATATGTATTGAAATGCCTGAGGTACCAACAAGTTGCATTGTTTACCTTAAGAAGTTCGAAGCGGCGATAAATGGTAATACAGATGAATCTGCTGATGAAACAGAATTTAATCAAGTTATGGATCAACTTCAAACCTTCATCAAGTCAATGGAACTGAATCAAGAACAAATGAAGGTGGTGGAAGAAATTATCAATGGTATTAAAACAATTGGAAATAAGATATTGGTAAACATGATACTTACCTGTTTTCATTTCCTACATTTTTTGATTGCAGTGCGATATGGCCGTTATGCGAAATGACATGAAAAACATGAAAAAATGTGAACGGAAACTACAAGACAAGTTGGACCAATTGACGATTAGTCACAGCACATTACAAACTGTGGTTCTTGATTTGAAAAACGAATTTTCGAAGTTTAAGTGAGTCGTTCTTGTTTTTATTTACACATTTTCCAATGATCTGTTCTAGACAAAATACAGGCGACATGGTATTGGCATCAGTATATGCTCATTTGTTACAGCCAGTTATTGACAGAATTGATGAAGCATTTCGAATAAGAAACGAACAAACGAGAAACACGCCTTCACCAACATCATATAATATAAAGGACCATTATAAGCCATGTGTATTAAGAAACATCAAGTATGGGTTGAATATTGACGATGAACCTACGCAATTAGTTAGTAATGTGATCGTTGAATTTGGTAATGCTGTTAGTTTATCACAAATGCAAATGGTTGAATTATTAATAGCAAAAACAACGAGAAACTATTCAGTACATGGTTTTATTGAGCACTTTATTGATGATTTAGTTTTTGGTGAACACACACCAGACGATTTCATCGAATACATCGAAAACAAAAATAAAGTGGAACTCTCGATTAGCAATAAACAGAAAGTTATCTTGATGAAATTACTTCAATACAACATATACCTTCATCAGAACTTGTAAGACAAAAATCTTAGTGTTGGAAGATTGGCAATATTTAAATATTGTTTTTTATTTACATAGATAATTGATTGGAACTAGTTATTATTATGATCAAGAACTAATCGACTATGATACAGAATAAAGATGAAACTATTATTGCTGAAGAAGTTCTTGAAATCATATCATACTTGTTGCTTTTTTTTCTCTGGATTGTTATTTTATTTTTATTTTGAAAAGAAACAAAAAAATAGAAAGTAAAATTCCGATGAATACACTTATCTTCTGATTCCCTTTTTCGGAAGAGCAAAAGTGAACGTTCAAAAGGTTCTCTTGTCAATAAAACGAAATACTGAGGATATGCTTATAATCATTTTAAAAAATAAATAAATTTTGTCTACCAGCTGCTTGTGTCGAGATTGGATAAACAAAGGAATGCTAACAATGAATATCATATTTTTCTATAAAATTGTCTACTATGGAAATTTCTCACTGTCAATAAATTGGTGAAGAATAAATAGAAATGATTGCATTGATGCAAGAATCGTAACAGTATTTGATCTTGTTTTCCCAATATCATTTATCAACAATTAGTTTATTGTAGAAACAACAAACGAGACAAATCGATTTGGAATAAAGCTATCTTAAGAGTTCAACTGAAATTGATCTTGACAAAATGAACTGGAAGATAGTCTGTTTATTGGATTTCAGAACACAGAACAAGAAATCATAAAACGTTATCTAAGCTAATAAAAGGAAGACACAAGATTGATCAGTGGTTTTTGAGTCAAGCCTTTGCGCAGTATGTAGTTCCTAATGAGATGTGAGTATCTGGAAAAGAATCTGGGACAGCAGCTCATAAGGCCGAAATCAAGCGGAAAAGTGAGACTTCGCAGTCTAATGTACAGATGAAATACAGCAAAGTACAGTGAATAAACCAAAACTATATAAGATAAGAGAGAAGCGATTGAAGGATGAATTTTGAATTTTGAATTTCCTCAACGTACAAGATCTTGTAAAATGAGAGGTAACTATGTTATAAGACGAGTCATCCAGGAACAGACATTTGTAATACACTGACCAAGCGTTTAAAGAACGAAAGAGGCGGTTTCCATCCAATGAGTAGTCATTCTGACGAAATCTATGATTAGTAACTAAAACAATTGCTCCCAGTCTAGAATTGAATACGCCTAAATATATCATGAACAGTTCGACAGAAGTGTTAACTAGTCATTTGCAGCTCTCATAAATCAAAAGAGGATATTTAGAACACCTCTCTAAAAGCAGCAGTAAGCACTGGATGTAGTGCGATTAATATTACGACGAAATAATCTAAGATATGTCTAAGATTATTGATCGGTGATATTTCATATAACTTGCATAGCAAAACAAGAGTCTTTCATACGGACATACGATTATTACAGATTTTTCGATTCTTTACGTAGAGGATCAGCTTTTAATAGATTCTATCTGAAACACTCTTGAATAACACAACCTTCCAAAGTCTTACGCTATCACTGCTCTAAACCATAATTCAGCGGGTGCTACTATCTTCGCGATATTTGACACACACTAACCACTACGGGATTTTGATGTCCGTATAAATTATAAAAGATATTTACTGTATTTATGCTGTTAAGCATAGCCTTGTGTTTGTCATCCTATCTAGAATTTAACAACTGAAATTTCTAGCTTTCCCAATCAATACATAGCGGCTCTAGCATCCTGCTATTGATATCACTTTGTATCTCGATTTACTTATTCGATTCACCGGTTAAATTAGCAGAAAGTTGGAATTAGTCGTAGGAGTGCTTCTATTTTGTCCGAGAGAAATTTCGGTTATGACTGAATGAAGAGGATAATCCATACCTAGTTTGAAAGAGAAACAAATTTGCTACAAATTTGCAGAAAAATTCTCCTTTTAACATGTATTTATCTATGACATATAGGGGTCAATGCGACGTGATTATCCTATTTTACTAGATTATTTACAGAAAAACTAAGGTCAAATCCTGATAATATAAAGACATAACTATCTGTATTTTATATCATTTTGTAGTCCAATCATTTCTGCATCTGAAACCCCAAACTTTTTTTCTTTCAGCGTCACTTATAGACTTGAAATATTTTGTAAAAGACTCTGGGAGTGTGTCCAAAAAGATGGACTTTTTTGTGTTATTCGACAAAATCGAAAAATACTTAATGCATTACATTGAGTGACACTTCATTTTTCATCTCAAGATAGAGGAAAGAGAGATGAACAACTTTTATAGGAACAGTAAAAGTTGAATGTGTACCCTAAAGTGATAGAGGTTTCGTAAGTAGCCTCCAGCTAAAATGGCTGAAGTGATCGGAATTATCCCAGATTACTTTGTCAATTGATGAACAGTGACTGATAGAGGTGTCAGTGTTATGAATATTGTGTTGCTAGTGTACATTCATTCATCGAGATATTTTCAGGTCCCATAATAGACACCTTGGACTATCCCATGATATATTTTGTTTTATTTTTCAAGCACTGATACAAATGAGTTAAGAGATGGAGAAATATGAGTCTAGTTATTTTGGCTGGAGTGATCAGAATTACCCCACTTGGGGTACTTCCGATCAGTCAGTCGAACTAGGTGGGGTAATTCCGATCAGTTCGGACTCCCTCTTGGCATTTTCGCTATTACTTTTTCCCGATACACTATTCTTCTTTAATTCTTTCGTCAATAGATAGAAGACACTTCGAACTAGTAATGATACAAAAATCATCTTTCTATAAAAGTAAAATGATTGAGAACGAACAAAAACAAAATAAATTTTCAAATTTTTGATCGGAATTACCCCAGAGGACTCTGTTTCTTCTACAAGTGGACAGATCATATGTCAACTTATAGTGTCGTGTAGTACTCGTCGTGCACTATCCACCACGCTATAAAAAAATTCGAAAAACACTTATATAGAAAATAATATCTGTAGAAGAAGTTGTGCAAGTTTTTTTTGCAAACACCTGTATATTTCTTCTTTATAAATATGACAAATCGTGAAATTGGCAATTCGGATAATATCATATTTGAAATAAATTCAATTTAAACATGTTCAAACTTTAATAATAAATAAAAAAAACATATAATCTTTAACATATTTACAAAAAATTAATTTCATGAAGATTATCAGATAGACAAACGAGTTTATTAAATAACTGTTCATCGAGAAGATTTCTTCAACTAGAGATAAATTCTATATTGATCACTCTGTTTATTGTTATTTTGATGAGTAATGATGAGATATCCTCTTGGCATAGATGCCATTTTATCATATGTTGACATCATTCTTACTAAATGTTTTAATGGTAACCAATGATGAGGAAATCTGGTTGCATTTGGATCTAATATGAGAACATAATCTGTTTTTTGATCAAATCCAGCAATTAAAGCAAAATGTCCACTTTTATGAATATAATCTTTTTCATTAATATAATATTGTCTCCAATAATTAACAATTATAAAATTATCCTGTTTTTTAATATCTTCTCGGAATTGTTCTTCGAAGTTTTCATGATCACTATATCGAATTATCGAATAAACACCACAAAAAAAAAGAAAGACATGAATAGAAATTCAGACGATAACGTACCATGATGATCGAGTTGAGATG